AAAAAAATATTATTCAGATAGCTTATAATAAATAAACTGATTATATATTGTATGTTGCCATTTGGCAACAAAAAAATAAACACAAAAAATTAACCACATCGACGCACTGTTGCCAATTGGCAACATACCATTTTTTTCGTATGTCATCCACCTATGATGACAAATATCAAACATAAGCTCATTTAATATCAGTTCAAACATTAAATTTAACATTCTTTATTTTTTATAACAGGAATTATCATTATGTGATATAAAAAAACAGCTTGTACTTACTGGATTCGGCGGAAAAAATTGTAGTCAACTGTGACCGTCTAAAATGTGTTCTTACATAAAAACTGCAAAGCGAAAGTGAAGAGTTCTTCAGGATAAAAGTTTGAAACCTCATAATTGAAAAGGGGAACCACTCCAACAAATTAAAAATTGGGCTTGCAGTACTAGCAGTAGTGTAATTTCGCTTTGTTGCCAAATGGCAACATTGCGTAATAGAGGGTTAAACGAAAAACCGCTTGAGGATAATTCAGCAAAAAATTCACTACAAACCCAAATCGTTATTGCCCAGACCTGTTTACCCTCAAACTCTTCAAATCGTACAATATCATCACAAAATCGTTTAAAACATTATCTTAATTGTAAAATAATAAAACTACAGTATAAACATGTATACACCTTAAAATTGTACATTGTGCGCCAAAATCGTAAGAATAAACAGGTCTGGTTATTGCTAATCACAATCTCTAATAAAATTATTCTAACATTTCCATGCTGAAATAGATAAATTGGAGGTCTCTCTTAGCTCTAAGGCAGGCCTGCACAACTTGCGGGCCGCATGCGGCACGCCAGCATCCACTTTTCGGCCCATGAAGTAATGAAATATTCTTTATTCTTGTTATTTTCTTAATAACTTTCCTTCCTGTCCTATTTTCTTTTGGCCCGCACAAGTTTTTCATAAAGTATACGGCCCACCTTACATTTTGAGTTGTGCGGGGCTGCTCTAAGGGAAAGCTAAGAAATGTGAGAATTTGTTATTACAAAAATGAGAGTAGCCTTTTCTTTTATATTTTTATCTCACTGGGAATTCTGGGGAAATTTGTATCAAACCTTGGGATTTAAAAAAATATTCTGACAGAGAGAAGCACTGCTTTAGGAGTTTTGCACTATCTGGTGGGTTAAATTGTTTATTCTTATTTTGTGGCGTGTTGTTTTCCCTTGAAGCTTTGTAAAATTGTATTACTGAATTTTATTTCTCTGCGACTACTTTAGAAATTAGCTGTTGTTTTTTAAATTAAAATGTGTACAACTGAGTTACCACAACTTTTTTTTTTATTACTTAAACATTCTTAAACAATCCTTGCTTGATATTACATGCCTGACTATTTGTAAGGTGTGAAAAGTGGCAGGGGGGGTTCTTGGTGTTTGAGGAGAGAAGGCCTATTCATACTTTCAGAAGCGTAGCTATTGCGTCAGGGGCCTGGGGACATCTTCATTATCGTTAAAATACCACCAAAGCCCATTGCTAGTCTTGCACCCGGAGACATCTGTCGTCTTCTGCCACCCTTTGCAACGCGTCTACGTACGTTCAAATTTCTCAATTGAATATACTTTCTAAGAAATGCCTTTACTTTATATATTCAGACTTTTCAGAGTCCTTAAATTTACACGACTTTTTGGGCCATCGACTTGACTATCGAAGTTATCAATAAAAGCACGTTTGATTTTATAGGCCGAAAGATTGACCCTCAGAGTCAGTCCCAACTAATTTATAGTTTGTAACTTTTCTTTAGAGTTAATCTAGAATTAATTCTTTTCCTCAGAAACATTGAATTTGAAGGAATGTAGGTTTAATAATGAAAAATAATCAAGAGCAAAACATCGTAAAGCTGTGTTTTTTTTCTGGGCTCTTTTCTCCATTTCACCGGGGCTTTTTATGTTTCCGGAGTGGCAATGCTAGTCGCAAAATGGCGGACTCCGTTGCATTATAAAAAAAAAAAATACAAATCTTGGCCAATATACTTTCCCTTCCTAATTTCCCCTGCAGTAAGAGTATGAAATGAAGCTAAGCACGACAGCTCAGCAACAAATAGTTTAAATTTCGTTGTCACTTGCACTTGGTAAATATTAAATATGTAATTCTTAAACCACTACTAAGCTTAGTACTTAGTAAAAGTAGCAGTAGTTTTGAGTTAATTAATAGTTAAAGTAAGTAGTAAGTAGGCTTAAGTGTTAATAAGTCTAGTTGAGACTAATTTTTAATTTATTTTAGTCAATATAGGCCTAATAAATAATAGTCTGCTCTGAGCCTACTAACTACAAGTACTAACCTACTACTACTTACTAAAGTCTCAAGCCGAGTCAAGTATATTAATAATTAAATTATTAATTTTAATATTAATAGGGGTGTGCTGGATCCGTTTTTTCTAACCGGATCCGGATTTTCTTATGCGAAATCCGCCGGATTCCGGAATAATCTGGATTCCGGATTTTGGTACTATTGACCACTATTAGTATTAGCGGTGCTGACTCTAGCCTCTGGTATGTTCGGAATATTAAACATTAAACAAGCTCAACGCTCCCAAACAATCGACTAATGTATCGTTGTTATAGAGAGCTTGTTTACATAATATTTCTCGTGCGTGCCCTCCAATTGACCCCGCTTGAGACGCTGTGTTCACAAAGGGGTGTGGCTTAGGCCCGTGTTTTATTCTTTGTGTATTTGTGAGCTTATATGTGTTTATTTCGCATTATTTATTGGCACATTATTCTAACTGTGTTAACTGTGTACCGGTACAAGATCTACCATACTGTAAGTTGAAGATTGTAATTATATTTTCTTTTCTTTTGTAATTAGAATTAATAAATATTATTAATTGTAACTAGAAACTGTTTTGGGTCGTATCTTTATTATTGTTGATTCTATGGTATCGTCCTTTGTTAGGCACTGCTTACAACGAGCCAATTAAAATTAAAATAATAATCGTGATCGTGTGGAATTCGGGAAAGAGAATTACTTTTATTTCAGATTATGATCCGGTGAGTCACAAAATCTGTCAAATTCCGAAATCCGGTATATTCCGGATTCCGGTTGTTCCGGATACATGTAAATCCGGCGGAACAGGATTTCACCAGATAGTGCAAAATCCGGCGGAACCGGATTCCGGACCGGATTCCGGCACACCCCTAAATATTAATAATATTATTAAATATTACCAATGTAAATGACTAAAGTTTTGTTTTAGGCTTGCTTAGGCAAGGTTAGTAGGCTGGACTCTTACACTTACATTACTTTTACTTTTAGGGAATTTAATTATTTTTTTTGGGTCCATTTTTTTTCAAAGTTAAAAAGTAATTAATAAATATAATTTAAACAAAGTAGCTACTTCAGTATCCCCCAGAAATACCTGAACAAAGGGTATCATAATTTCATTGTCAAAATGGCGACCTCTACTTTCTTATTTACTGAGGGTATTGTTGTTTCGCCTTTTATAATCGATTTTTAGCATATTAAATTCAAAATCTGCTAGTTTCTTAATGCCAACATCTTGCGTGTTGTATTGAGAGTTCGTTTAATTATTTTTATTCAAGGTTAAAACTTTGAAAATTGAAGTTAAAAATAGGCAAACTTCACTTATCAATAACTTTTTGTGTTAAAATGTGCTCCATAATAAAACATACCCTGTTCCTCTAGTTTATAGGTTCATTTACAACATATCCAAAATTCATGGGTGTGGGCCATGGGTAGGCTTCAAAAACGAAAGTCCCAGATGTACATTTTTTTGGACTAAGTAATTTGCCACCGTGCTTGCCTGCTTATTGCCAATTATCGATAGCAGCCGTGGGGTAATTAATAATTCATTAAATTTGTTATCCAGAATATAAATGGGAAATATAAATACCGATAATAATAAATCATTTTATATAAATAAATAATGTTTTATAACATAAATAATTATTATTGGCTTATGACATATCAGTGTTTTTAATTTTTGGGTTTGGTTGCCATGGACATGGCTGACATGGGATTGATAAGCACTTGTCTTTTACTTAGATAGGCTTAGTAAAAGTATTATAATAGTAATTATACTTTTACTATTATAAATGTTTAAGGAGTGGGATAAATAGCTTTTATTACAACTAATATTTTTATATTAGTTTTTATATATAGATAAATATTTATATATGTGTCCATAGGCTATAGGCCTAGCATAGACATAGTATAATACAAAGTATACCAGATTAGGGTTTAGGCCTAGACCCAACCCAACTTATTTGTAGGGCCTATTATAATAAATTATATGTAATGATATTTTAGGCTATGTAATTATATTTAAATGAATACAGTGATTCTTAACTCTTTCCATGCCAGGGGGTTTTCCATGTTCGTGCCAGACCAGTTTTCGGCAAAGGGAGATTTTTTAGGGTGCTCTTATCTACTAATTAATTTTGAATACATTTCTTTTATCAATATAGCTGTGTTTAATATTATATTAAAGGAATTTAGACAGAGAATAAGGCAATCCTCCGAAGTCCGGTCCCATATTATTTCCAATGATTACTCCTTACTTAAACTTAAAAGTCTTAGGCATAATTTTGTTTAGAAATTCATGTTTGCGGTAGTGGACAATGTTGGATGGAGATTGTTGGCCGTCGAGATGCACAAACGCTAAAGCGCATTATCACTAATCATGTGTTACGAGGGACAACTATCGTCACTGACGCTTGGTGAGGATATCAAAAAAATGTCGGTTAGCTCAACAATGGGATGTATGCTCACGCTGTCATCGTGCACGCGCGTGAATTTGTTGATACAGTAGACCAGAACATTAACACATATAGTATTGAAGGACTTTGGATGCAAGCGAAACGTAAACTCCGCTATCATAGTGGTAGGCCTACTAGTCGCGATCATTTTTTCCGCTACTTGGGGGCCTTTCAGTGGCGCAGCAGTCACAAGAAGAACGTTTTCAGCTGCTTTTTCCAAATGCTATGCGCCAATTACAACATTTAGTATTTATTGGATATTATATAGCAGATAAATATTTCTCAAAACTAAATGATGTCAGAAACGTAAACATCATTACACTGTTACGTACTGTTATCCGTATGGATAAATTAATCTCCTATTTAAGAATATGGCTCGTTCTAAAACAGTACACAACAAAAGACGATACCATATGTTAAATACAATAACAAAGCAAACGATACCCAAACTAGGGCTAATAACAATTAATAAATTTTATTACATTAATAATAAATTACAAAATCAAAAAGAAATAAAATTAAAGCTATTGACTTACAGAATAATGATTGGCTTGTACTGGTACAATGTTGAAGAAGATACATTGTTTTATAAAGGTAAAGTGATGTAAAGGAATCTAAACACACACAGCCAAAGTGAGTAAACAAATCTCTGTCTCGTACAGCACAGTTCTATCGTAATAGCCATCCAAAAATATCTCCCTAGGCATATATATAGCCTGTTTCATAGATATTTCCAGAACGGGCTTACACATTGTATGCCTTTCTAGATATTTCTACATAATTCTAATTATACAGACTATAGAGTTTATTTAGCTGTAAACAAGGTCAAAGAGATTATTGTTAGTTAGCCACACCCTAAATGCGGTTCTGAGCTTGGGGTCTGCAAGAGTTCATTCACGGGAAAAGATAACGTAAACACGTTTTCTACATGGCAACACAAATACTTCATTTTTAAAAAGAAAATTCTGATGATTTTTCACAAAAGCAATTTGAAAATATCACAAAATGTCTACCATTATTATCCCAGTAACTTTGGGTCAAGTACTCTAGTCTATGATTAAAATAATTGTACCGTTTTAAAAAAATTAATCTACATCCTGACCTTGATAGTAAACCTACTATATCTAACCTCTCATTTCTTTTCACCCAGGTATCCTTCTACAGTGAGCTTTTGAACCTACCTGGCTTTAAAACGTTGAACTTCTAACATGAAACGAAAAGATAAATCCAATGATTCTGAAACAGATATGAGCAATAATGGTGATAACTGTGACTCAACTCCTGGGCCCAGTAAAAAACCCAAGTCCAAGACGTGGTACAAGCAACACTTCAACAGTGACTGGCTGCAGAATCCTGATTTTAAGGACTGGCTTGAACCAGATCCCGTGGACAGATTTATTGTACGCTGCAAACAATGTGCCGTTACACTTAAAAATGCAAACAAAACAGGATTGGTTAAGCACATGATCACCAAGAAACACATGCGTAATTTTGAATTAAAAAAAGAAGTCACCAATACAACTGAAGCTATTGACCCTCCAAAAGAGCCGTCACTGAAAGAAAAGGTGGCCAATGCCGAGCTACTTTTAACAGCCTTCATGTCGGAGTATAATATTCCTTTTCTACAGACCGACCGTTTAATGGACTTGTTTCAGAAAATGTTTACAGACAGTGCCATAGCTCAGTCCATGAACATGAAGCGAACGAAAGCATCGTACCTGATGCAGGATGGCATATCAAGAGAGGAGAGGAATCATATCGCTGAGATTTGCAGGAAGACCAAATTTTCTCTCATCATTGATGAAGGTTCTGAAATACCAGTGGGTCAACTTCTTGCCCTTGTTGTGAGATACTATGACGAGACGAGCTGTGAAGTAACTGATGCGCTGCTTGACTGCATAGAAGTAAAGGATGCGACCCTGGAAGCCCTGTACTATACGATGAAAAAGCTGCTGGAGGACAAGCAAATACCATTGTCTAATATTATTGGGTATGCCAGTGACAACTGCTCAGCAGTTACTGATTTAAACAGCGGACTGGCATCCTTTTTAATGAGAGACCTGCCTTCTGTTTTTACTTTGGGTTGCATATGCCATTCCTTTACTCTGTGTGCTGACCATGCCAGCCAATGCTTGCCGTTGTGGCTGGACACTTTTATAAAAAACACCTGCAGCTATTTCACTCGCACCAGTAAGAGACAGCACGTTTTTCAGAGCCTACAGGAAATAGCTAATTCTCAAGAACATATGAGCTACAAACTCTCTCAGACTCGCTGGCTTTCAAGAGGGAAGGTCATTTCATGCCTACTGGACCAATGGGATGCTTTGCTTTTATTTTTCCAAAAGGAGGCTTCTGCACACAAAAGTGATAGTGCTGCAGAAATTCTCACTGTGATGACTACACCTGGGGCTAAGCATTCCCTTCTTTTTGTCAGCTATGTCCTATCCAAGATTGCAAGAATGGATGAGGAATTCCAATCTGAAAATTTAAGAATTCACAAAGTGTTTGCCAGCATTTCAGATGAATACAGGAATATACTGGATATGTTCATCAAACCTGAAATCATGAATGCATACCATTTGGCAGATATTGATCCAACCAATGCAACCCTTCATAAACAATTAGAAGACATCGATGTTGGCGGCAGGTGTGAAAATTTATTGCTACGACAACCCTTGGGGGATAGAGAGCCAGAGTACCGCCATGATTTCCTGATGTTCCTATCGCATTTGTGTGCTGAAATAAAAAGACGCTTCCCTCTTTCAAAGGACAGTGTTTTGGCTCAGGTGAGAGCCGTCGGTGTCGAGGAGGCCTTGTCAACTGATGTCCGTTTGAAATCATTGATCCCTCTTGCTTCAAGTTTCCCAACATTGGTGGCTGAGACAGATTTAGATGATCTGCAGGATCAATGGAGACTTCTGCCCAATTCAAAAGATCTGCTGCAAAACAAAGACAACCTTGAGCCTGGAGTTTTCTGGTCCATGTTGAGGTCAACCAGAGACAGCAATGGCCTGCTGAAGTTTGAATTGCTTGCCAGGTTTATGTGCAGTTTGATGGCGCTGCCACATTCATCGGCACGTGTGGAGAGTATTTTTTCACAAGTCAACGTTGTAAAAACATTCCAAACAAACAGGTTGCAGGGCACCACAGTTACGAATAGGTTGCTGGCAATGCAGGCAATTGGAAGGAAATCTGATGTGGGTGTTTCCTGGACTCCACCGCCCTCCCTGATAGCAGATGTCGTTGAAGGTCGTTGTCATCAGCGCTACAAAGAAAGAGTGAAAGATCAACAGAATCGACTATCGCTCATCGACCTGGCTGAAGCAGGGCTCATGAGTCAAGCAGTTGAGATTTTGTTGCCCAAAGCAGAAGCACAATCAGGTGAGGTCCAACATTCAGACTTGGAGCTAGAAGTGGAGGTAGCTTATATTTGAATGTTATATCTACAAGATTGTTGGGGGTTATTGTTGAGTTGATTTTCTACCATCACTGATTGAACCTGAAACTTTGTGGATCATATGATTGATATATCTCTACTTGATAGGTTTATTATATATTATTATATAGCCCTCTGGACCATTGTCAACATGACAAACAACACCCAAATAAACAAATTGTCGATGAATGGAGACCACAGCGTAAAATTTATAAAAATCAATACAGTGTTAAATGTAATTTTTTAAAATGAAGAAAACACGTCTGCAAGCAAAAGAAATATAAGAACAAGGTGTGCTAGACTTGAATTCATTGACAGGACAAAAGATTTTGACGTTTCGGCTTAGAGCCTTCATCTGAAAACAAGATAAATTGAACTAAAACAAGTATCAGATCACAGCAAAAAAAAATTTAAAGATTTCCTTTTGTTGCCTGAAGTAGGGTTACAGGAAGTGAAAGAATATAAATATGAGTACTGTGAAAAATAAGGTAGAGAATCTTAAGGGACCAAAATGTTTAGGGATACATAAAATCTAAGGAATAAGAAAAAAAGAAAGAAATCCAGGGAAATTGAGAAACATTAGTAAGAGAGTATTTGATTCATACCATGTGGAGATATGGTACCAAAAAACTGAATAAATTTGTTTTCCATTTTCACTCTCTCTGGTGTGTTTGTGCAAGAAATTAGTGCCATAATGGATACATCTAATGCATCTTTATGTTGCCCTCTTTTGAAGTGTGAAGAGACTGGGGAAAGTTTACCTTTACGGTGTGAAGTCAGGGGTCCCACAGGGATCAGTGCTAGGCCCCTGTTTGTTCCTAGCATACATCAATGACCTAACAGAGAAACTGACATCCCAAGCAAGACTGTTGGCAGATGACACGGGTGTGTATAGGACGATCGCCAACAGATCTGACAAGGACCAGCTACAACAGGATCTCAATCGGTTAGCTGAGTGGGAGATGAGCTGGGACATGGAATTTCACCTTGCCAAGTGCCAGACACTATCAGTCTCAAGAAGTTGTACTCCTCTACACTACCAATACGAACTGCATGGCCATATACTTGAGACAGTTTCCTCCTTAAGGTACCTGATAGGCAGTTCTGGCTCATACCAGCAAGAAGCCAGTATAGGAGCTGCTTATTCCTGCCAAAGAAAATCAGGGACTGGAACAAGCTTTAAAAAGGAACGGTTGAATCGACAACACTTGACACATTTGTGTCTATTGCCTCAGGCCTTCCAACCCCCAGTGCATGATACCCCCACAAAGTAGCCCTTGCAATAGGTGAAATATTCTCTTCAACACCAGGCACAGAAACATTGCAAATCCCCTCTACATGCATAGGAGTAGGAGCCAAAATGATCAATATTAATATATAGAAGTAGAAGAAAGGGAAGAAAGGATTGGAAAACCAATTACAGAAAAAATCATAGCATTTAAACTAAGTGGATATTATAATCCAAAAAAACACTACCAATAACTACTAATACCCTGGTACTAATAATGATGTTGATAATTCTGCTACAAATTGAAAAACATATATTTGCTAATCCTGAATTCTTTTCTATTGTTTTATGACCATATTGAGATTGTCATGAATCTATCTGATCTGTTATCCATGTTTCAATTTCATGAAGATTGAAAAAATGTTATCAGTAAGAAAATTAAAATAATGTTAATAATTCTCTTTCGTTAGGATAACGAAATTGAAAGGGAGACTATTTTACTCATCATATTATTTCATTCTTAAGTTCTCCTGCTGTTTGCTTAAAGAATGGTCAAAGTATTTTTCTCTCCACCCCCTTAAAGAACCTTTACAACAAACATGAGGATGGCCTACCATATTTTATGTTTTGAATGGTCGTGCGCCCCCCCCCCCCCAATTTAAATTTACGTTCAACACTTATCTTAAACTTAAAAAATACTTATTTTTATTTGTTTGATAAAGAAATCATGATTGAACCTTAGTTGCCTTTGCAAGTTTAGATACTTGATAGAATCGGGTGATTGACAAAACTTTTTTCAATTGTGAATATGATAATTCATGTATGTTTAACAGTTCATTATTCTTGTTTAAAAAACGTTATTCCATTTAAAGACATTTATGTCAACACATATGTTTCATATAACTTGTATGCACATACCTGTACAGTAAACCATTCTGTTTTGTAAACTAACCAGCCAATGGTCAAAAACAGTTTGTCAAAACTTTTCACATATTTTTTTAACATGAACATGTGTTTTTAATTGAAGGAAATGTATTGTGTGACCAAGATGTGTTTTTAATTGAAGAAAATGTATTGTGTCATCAAAAAGACTAACATTGGATGCACTGTGTAAATGTCTTACTAAGCTGATGATTAGATTGCTTTATCGCTTGGCACACTGCTTCTGTTCTCATTGATTAAAAATCCTATCAGAGTGAGTTGTGTACATTGCTCAATGTTTATTACTGTTTAACTATAGCTACTTGAAACAAATTAGTGTTTAACTATATCTAGCTGAAAATCGAGCACACAATCTATATATAAGACCTCAACAAACCAAAAGTTAGCCGGAGACACCTTGTACGCACTATGTCTGCATATTTCACCA